ACTCCGGAACGGACTGCTGATGCACGTCAGGTGTTACACCGGGGATAGTCAACTTCTGTTCAGAAGGGGAAGGCTCAATAAAAATATTTAACACTGTCCTTTTTGGTGAGTAATGTTAGGATTTGACTCGCTGCTTTACAATACATCAGTACCAATTCTCTTCTCGCAACTAGATTCTGTTTATAGGCATACAGAGGTTAATATTTCCTGATTAGAATAACCTAGTTTTTTGATCAATTTGAATTACTCTTAAAGTTACTGCAGCGACAACGAATGATACACTTCAAGATATGTTACCTTGGGTATTTATCGCCTTTTATATGGTTAAGGACAAAGTTCGGTTGATGGGCAAATTAGACCAAGACTTCTGACGATTAACTGTTATCGGCTATACCACACAAACGAACCCTGGCCAGCCTGCAAAGAAGTATTATCATAGGGTTATAAATAATGTTAACATTATAACGAGTGTGTGAAAATAAAGTAAGTTTTAGGAGAATTGGGAAAAAATATGTACAGCAAGGTTTATTTTTTGGATACCTTAATTTGCTCTCAAAGCAGTTGGAGAACACTTGATGCTTGTAGCATGTCAGGCTTTCGTAAGCTTGTCTTACGCGTGTGATGTGAACCGATCTTCATGTTTTGTACAGCCTGCCATACACTAGAAACGAGGCAATTGAATCAGCAGTTACATTCTTACAAATCTGTAGATCGGCATAATTTGCTTCATTTCCAACAATCTGTGGCCATGAAATGCTGTTGCTTTTGCCTTAAAGTACCCTTTACCACAGAGACTGTTTATCTTGTCGTTATTTTAGGTTAACCTAGCAAGTACATTTCATAGACTCTTCATTTTAATTTTTGATCAGGTACATACCGTCAGAATTAAAATTTTTTATTGGGTTTTAATTTTGTTAACTAAAAAGTGAGTTCATTCAAGTGATGCGCAGGAGCTAAATTTCTGGCCTGCGCATTAAGGATCATTTCGCTTTAAGACTTTATCCGTTCTTTCGATTTAGGGTCTATTTTCTGCTACCGACGCTGATGCTAGTGAACTTTCAGGATTAAAAAAGATCCAGTCTATCTGCCTGATTTCATAACATTTCATTCACCGTAGCTAAACGACGATCGTCTAACCCAGTGCAAAATCCGAAAATTTTGTAACGGTTTTTTAAATGCTAAAATATCAGCTGATATAAGCTATCTTTGATGTTGCTGCGGTCGAACTAGTTTTCTGTGTCGTCAAGAGATCATATGAACAAATCGTTCTTTGGACCATTTTGCACCCTCGCACTTCAAGCGCTAAGATTTCGTGGAGACGTGGTTTGCTTAAAAACCCTCTTAAACATCATGAACTACCGGAAGGTGCAACTATCCTAGGTAAAGCTGTAGAAGTGACGGTCAAGAAATCCTCAAGAAGGTCATCGCAAAGTCCAAAATAAGGAGTTATATTATAAGGTAATTTCGCATAATCTTTTCTGCTGAGAGACTATGGCAGTTTCAAACATGTGTCATAAATGCTAAAACAACAGACAAATGAAAATATTGGAATTGGAGTTCCCAGAGCATTTTATCATATAGTGTCTCGAAAGTAAAATCCACCAACAAAGAAAAGATGAATTATTCATGTGAGGTTGAGTTGAATCACTGATGGTGCAACGGTGAATGTTAATTAAGCAAAGAACTCAAAGTTGCATGATTCCCTGGAAGGATGCGTTTCCCATCACAAATATGGACAAGCTAACCCTTAAATGAACACAAATCATTAAAATCGTCAACCTTATGGTTGGTTGAACTAAAGCTGGCTAAAAGTATTGAACTTAATCTATTTATGGATTTCTATGATTATTGGGGTTTCAACTAACAGTCGATGATAACCAGATTCACATATCTCTTAATGTATTTAACAATAGTGTTTTATAAGCAACAGTAGGAAGAGAGTGGCATAGAAAAACTTGGAATAATTTTCTGTATTCACACCAAGTTAATTTTTATTGTCACTTATTTATGAGTAGAGAATGACAAAATCAATGGATGTTCTGAAAGAATATATAAAGATATAAATGCGAAAAATTCTGCAAAAATGACGATACTTCCTTTCATTAGTTGCGGGGAGGAATCTGGTAAATGTTATTCAATAGTGCAGAGTTCAAATTTCACATTGCGTGTTCATCCCTCTTCATCCCTCACACGGTTCACTTAAACACAACGCAAAAGATACTGTAGTCAGTCTGGTGACTGACCAATATCGACGTTTCGGCCCATGTCTCAGGGTTTTCTACAAGGTAGGCTTGTGGTGTAGTGTATAAGTAAACCGTGTCTTACGCTGTTACTTCAGTATGACTACCAACCCACAAACGAATTACTCTATACTTCGTTCTCATAGCATGAAGACTGCCATTTCCCCTTTGTATGATTCCGGTTGATTCGTAGTCAGAATATTGATTGCTTTTCGCTTAGGTAAATTAGCCTGAAAGCACCTGTCAAGCATTGGCATCGTTGTTCCGATAATGTAAATATTGTAATAGGGAATGGCCAGCATGGTAAGGGTGACCGCTGCGACAGCCGCTGTAGAAGTCAAGGGAACAAATACAACGCATTTTACCTAACATGGTTGACAGATTTTGATTTCACTGCCTGCTCTATACAATATGAATGCCAAGATCGGTTTCACATGCAAACGTAAAGGAGAGAAACAAAGAAGGAGTCATCCTGAACACACATGACAGTACCTTGCTACAGTAACCTCAAATTCATAATCTGTTGCTACCTGCTTTTGGTTATAAACCATCTTCCACCTTATAAATGCAAAGAAACTTTACGCTGTGGAAATCATATCAATAGGTAAAACAAGTTTCATTTTCATACAATCATAAAATCATATCAGACAAGATGGCCACTGGACCTTCCAACCCCTTTTCAGCCAAATGTCTTGGATGGTCCAGTCGAAACTTGGTCCCGCTGTGGTCGAGGCTGATCTTAATGAGCTTTTTCACTGCTGATTATTTCAAAGCAATTTCTTTGATTTTATTGTTGCTTTGCAAGAAATCAGAACAACAAGAGTTCATACGTTTCTTTGCTGAAGAAAAACTATACAGGAACTGTGGCCCGGGGACCTAGGAAAATTCGCTGACTGCAGTTCACCTGGGAAAGTTGACCGAAAATAATTCACACACCGGAAAATTTGGCAACGGCATTCTCGGATATTTCATATCGTATCGTCATACTGCAGCAGTGAAAGCCGGTCATAAGTCAGAATACGATAGATTGAATTGAAATTTAACTGTTTAACAGGAATCATGGAAAGAAGCCAATTTTCAGCAGAACGAAGCTATGATAGCCGAGAGCTGACCAACCTCTCCATATCATCAGTTAAATCTAGCTTATAAGAATAGTTTGATTTAAACTTATAAGGCAGGAACATGGTCTACAGTTCCAAAGAAAGTTTGTTGTTACCATATCAAATCGTACGTAGACGAGAAGAATAATATGGCTCACTGTAGCATTCTGTTTGAATACGTTGAAAACGGTACTTCGGGTACGCTAAGATTTGTCAGTTGATTTCAGCATTGGAACGATTGCGAACAACTTATGGAAAAGTGAAAAATGGTCATTACAGAAAAGACAACTTCAGTCAGTTAGAGTTATGAGCAAACTTTGAGACTCATCGCTGACTGTCTTCTTGACGGTTGATATCAAAGATGGAAAATGGCCGTAATTAAAAGTCATGCAAAGTTTTGGTGCTAGTGACGCAGTGCCTATCGAAACGAGTGGACACCGACGACATAAAAACTGATTGCATGAAATTATGCGGTAACCAAAGGACGCTAATGCTACTGCTGAAAACATCTGCAAGTGGCGTCTATTTAGTCGTTAAGCAGGCATTGACTTTGAGCAATGCGGAAATGATTGAGTCTCACCTAGATTTTGCATGGTATTCAAAGCCTGGCTGATGAATCATGCTATCTTTCATGGTACGATGTACGCTGTAAGAAGGAATTGTAGAAATATTAGCATATTAATATCAACCTGCATGTGTAACGCTGATGGTTTGCCGATTTTGGCATACGAAGTTCTCCGCTGTATCATCAGTCAGTCAGTGAATTCAGTCGTCCCTGACCATTGTTGGAGTTTCATAATAGTGATTTATTGGATATTACCATACGTTGAGGGTTACTGTACCTACAGAATGGGACATGTCATGTTGTAACTGAGTTCGCAGCTGCTATCGTAATAGGTTGTTTGATCAGTGAAGAGGGTAAAAATGGTATTGAAAACACCGTTTTGGCGGTGAATTATGCAGGTGTTTAGAGGAAGCTGGAGTCTGGGCGGATATAAAGCCCTGACAGCGTAAGGGTTAAGGTCGAGTTATGGTTGCGTGAAGTTTCGGCTTGTATGGCTTCAGATCTTTGGTAGTGATAAGTTGTTAGGATTCAGTTCAGCGCTTATGAGGACAACGCTTCGTGGCAATTGGAGGGTCAGTGAATTTAAAGCTTTTGTGGAATTAGGTTTGATATCGTGCAGAGTTTAGTTTAAACTTTATATCTGTTCAGGGGATAGAACACACGTTTATCAAGTTCTTGTTTGCGGTAAATATGTAAATGAGTCCATAATCCTTCTGACCTGAATGTCGATTTTAAGCGGATTAAAATAATAAGATGCCACAGTCCTTGATTACCACTACCCTTATTACCTTACCATTTTTGGGCTTATGACGTTTAGTTTAGTACGAAATGGCACAAAGAGGTACATTGTTGTAGACTTTGCCTTGACATGGGGTTGCTCGTTGTTCCCCTCCAGTTATGTCTGTTTTTTAGATAAGCAAAACAGATATTTTTCGTCCTTCATCGGGAATTTACTGCCCATTCAAAGCCTTCTGATTAAATTTCAAATGACCACAGATCCCTGCTTATCCAAATACCTTAGTTTGGCGCCATCGTTTAATATCATTTCTGTTGAATGGCTCGGTTCCCGTGCCTGTTCTGCAGTGCATCTTCAGAATGGCAGTTGTCGGTAGAGGTTCAGACATCTTGGCGCTGCGAAATAGTTTCGTCGCCGGTTGGCCAAGCCACGGGCGATTGAATTTCGATCCGATCTGTGTGCCCTTTTCCAACGTACGACTGTTGCACGTGACAAGCCGTCAGCGGATACAGCCCATCTTTTACCTGCTGCTCATGTCCACACGTCATCAGCCGTCGTCCGTAGCTCATGGCAACATGTTTTCACGTGCTGCTCGTCATCGTTCTGACCGCAGAGGAAACGACAGCCTTCTTCTTTCTGACATCCGCTACCTGCGTTTGATGAGCAGCCTGCCAACAGCGATGCAGGCTAATGCACTTTGCTGACGGCTTAATGTACCTGCCTTCTGAACCAACCCCTAAACAACTGCCAACTGATGTGACGTAGCAAATTTTGCCATGGCTCCGTTTACACAACGCAACTCCAAACTAATTAATCATGGCTGACGAAGTTCTATATCGGCAATCTTTAGGTCCCTTAATTGCTGTATTCTTTCCAGAAAGTATTTTTCTTAAACTTCTTACTATAACTTAAGCTCTTTCGACGAATGGGCTAAAATTGAAAAACATCATTTTCTATTGGTTACCAAAATAATGGTCAAATCATTATAAATCTACCTGGATAATCTCCCCTTACACTAACTTTTAAGTGTTGAAACTGACTGTATTTCTCACAATGAATATATTACATTCACAAATTTCTAACCGAAATCATCATAACTGTAGTTCATCATTTTTCAGATGATATATATCATGCTGTCAATGAGATTAACAACGACGGTGGCTGTGAACCCTACTGTTAGGGCTTCTAATCATAGCCTATTCTTCTCTAAAAT